AAGAAAAGAAAAGAAAAGAAAAGAAAAGAAAAGAAAAGAAAAGAAAAGAAAGAAAAGAAAAGAAAAGAAAGGAAAAGAAAGGAAGAAAAGGAAGAAAAGAAAGAGAGGAAAACCAGAAGAGGAGGAGCCATGGTGAGCAGACAAGTAAAAAAAACCTAGAGACAAAATACCAGACCCTGCACAAGCAAGCCTCATTCACAGCTTTCTTGTAATCAAGTCATTCCACTTCAACAGAATCCTGTTCACAAATTCAAAGAATGGGGCTGGGTGCTGAAATTAAGTGTCACTCATAGATACCTAGAGGCCAGAGTGGACAGGTAGATGATTCTGAGTATGATACTGGGACCAGAATGTCTAATGATACTCTTGAATGTAACAGTGAGGGAGGAAAGAATCAGGATAATAACTTACTGAGGTGTTAGAATTATAAAAACAATGGGCTGAGAAAAAAATCCTTTCCGTGACAGACACAGGACTCACACACACTAATACACTAATAAGAGTGTTACTGTAGTGAGTTGCAACATGTCAGTTGACCCACAGTCTGTGTACTCAATTTTGGTTTGTGGCCAAGCAATTCAGATTAATTCTGCCCTCTTTAAAAAAGGGGAGTTTATGAGCTTGGTTTATCAAGAAACAAAACTGGGAAATTATTTCATTATTATGTAGAAGAATGCTCATGGGGAGAAAATCCTGAGTACCAAATACCTCCTTAACCACTGAAAAATTGTAATAATAAGCAATAGCTGGAAGACACAATATTTGTCATTAGCCGATGGCCTAAAACACCAACAGAAGCAGTGCATTATCCAAACCATTGAGTCTTGATATCAAGTCTAGATAACTTCTAAGAAGTTCACATGTCTTTCGCCTCAGAAAGAGAAGAGCTGAGTCAAATGCACAGTCAAATGCAATGTCAAGCAAAAAGGCCTAGCAGTTTCTTTGGGATGGCAAATTTTTTGATCTATTCAGTTAAAGATCAGAAGATCAGATATCACTGCAATCATCTAACCTAGTCCTCTGTATTAACAGAATATGTAGAACTCAAAGATTCATTGTATGATGATGCTGTCTGTCCTTTTTTTCAGCTAGGATAGAGTTAATTTTCTTCTTAGTAGTTGGCACAATTCTGTGTTTTGAATTTAGTATGAGAATAATGTTGATACCACACTGATCTACTTGTTGCTAAATAGTGCTTACTCTAAATCAAGGTCTTTTCAGTTTCCCATGCTCTGCCTACAAGAAGGTGCACAAGAAGCCAGGAAGATGCATAGCTAGGATAGCCGACCTGAACAGGCCAAACTGATATTCTATACCATTAAACATTATGTTCAGTGTATAAACTGGGGTTAGCCAAGGGAACCAACTGCTGCCTGGGGGTGGGACAGGTATCAGCCAGCAGGTGGTGAGCAATTGTACTGTATATTGTTTGTTTATCTTGGGTTTTAGTCCTTTCTCTCTCTCCTTTTCAATAAAATTATTGTTATTATAATAATAATTATTAGAACAATATTTTATTTTGTTTTCAGTAACAAACTGTATTTAGCTCAACCCACGAGTTTTTTCTTTATTTTTTTGTTCTCCTCCCCACTGTGCAGAGCAGCAGTGAGTGAGTGACTGCATGGTACTTAGTTGCTGACTGGAGTTAAACCATGACACAGTCTCAGTTTTATAGACTCCAATATCAAACTGAAGATGCAACCACCAGAAGCTGCATTGATATGCTACAGATTTGGACTATACCTGATAGAAGAGCTGGTGCAAAAAGCTAAAATCTAATAGTATTTGCCTTTCACGCCCCAAGTTTTTCATCCCCTTCAAAATATCTAAATAAATATTCCACACTGGAAGATTTGGTAGGCAGATTAAGAATGCTAATGTTTACAAGTTGGGTAGTAGTGTGATAACTGTTGCTCTAAAGGTATCACCATCAGCTGGTGCAAAAATGAAGATCACATAATGTAAGATCACATATACTTTTAGAAAGAATGAATATTTATACTCAATCTGGTCACAAATATACTTATTAATGATGTGACATACAAATACAAATAAGAAGTTTTAATGCATTAACAGCAGAACAATTTATACCTGTACATGCCCTACTAACTGAAACATGCACAAGTCTTAACAAGAAGAGTGGCAAAGTTATATGGGGCCAGAAGTTAAAAGCAGAACAACAGTGGCGATTTTTATTGAAGAAAATAAGAACAATTAGAATGGAAAAACTAGTAAGAGTTAAAAAAAGGAAAGAACATGCAGATAGTCACTGTTCATTCATCTGATTTACTACAACCAGTTAAATAAATATGGTTGACAAGCTTCATTATTTATGCTACAGGACCTAGCAAGGATGGCAAAGAGCAGTAACGTCTGGGTAGGCCTGTGGTTATTTATTTGGACATTTTACAAACTGCAGCAAAAGAGTACCTGCTTACTCATCTAAATTCCCTGGAAAGTTTTAAAACACAGTAAGAAAGAATCACACATATAGAAAGCTAATAACTGTATCAACAGAGGGGAGTGAAAGAACCATGGGAGAGTTTTCGTGCCAGAATATGGACTCCCAGAGCTTTCTGCGTGAACAGGCTGGAAGTCCTAAGGGTTTGGGGGCCAAGAGAAAGTACTGTCATGGATCACGTCCCTGTGTTCCCAATGCAAGCAGCACCATTCCCGCTCGGTGACACCCTGTCAATGTCCCTTCTGCCGCATCACTCACGCCACCACTTGGGCTGAGTTTTGCCCTTCCTGCCTCGATTAATCCTTATGGCTTTATACTGAAGAACAAAGCTTCTCCTCTGATATTAGCTCTTCCTCATCGAGTACAGAAAAAGCGTTCTAAGAATTTAGATATAAACGTTACTTAGCCTAAAAGTATTTTTACACGGACCTCTTGGGAACGACAGCATTTCTGAGCTTTCGCTCCTTCGAAACTAGACAGCGAACTCGTAACACAGATTAAACTGTTGAAATACAGATTATGAGCTGTGGGGGAAGCGACTGTTCATGTACCTGCGGGCAGCCCCGGAGGGCACAGTGCGGAGACCCGTCCTGGGGGCTTCTACCTGTTCCCCCTCGCATCAAACAGGCACCGCGCCTCACCTTGCCCTGCCCTTGGGTTTTTGTTGTTAAACACGATCTGAACCACACGGCTGGATTTGTCCTGCCTGTCGCTGGGATCACCCAGACGGCGCCTGCCATCTCCTGTCCCCTCGGGGCTCGGGAAGGACGGCGGGCGGGAGGGAGGGGGTGAGGGAGGGGGCCGCCATCTTCTCCGGGCGAGGGCCGGGGGCGAGTGCGCGGCGGCGGGTCCGCTCCGGGCGTGCGGGGAAGGCAGCTGGGTCGTGTGGCCGCGCCCCCGCCCCGTGTGTGTGTGAGGGAAGGAGGGGGAAAGCGAGAGGGAGAAAGCGAGCGGGAGGGCGGGGTGTGGAGGCAGCTCCTGCCGCTGGGCGTGTGCCCGGCCCCCGGTGCTGCGTGACCGCGCGGGAGGAGCAGGAGGAGGAGTGTGGGTGCGGGGAATTTCCTTGTGTGGCGGCGGAGGAACAACACCGCTCCAGACGGCGGGGCTGCGAGGAGGGCGCTGCCGCCGCCGCCGCCGGTTGCCGAGCGATGTAAGGGGGAGCCCCCCCTGCGCCCTCCCCTCCCTGCCCCCGGAGCCGCCTGCTTTCCCCCTCCCTCCCCTCGCTCATCCCCGCCCCGCCATGCCGGACCAGATCTCCGTGTCGGAATTCGTGTCCGAGACCAATGAGGATTACAAGTCGCCCACCGCCTCCAACTTCACCACCCGGATGGCCCAGTGCAGGAACACGGTGGCGGCCATCGAGGAGGTGAGCCCGGGCGGGGGGCGCGGGGCGCGCAGCCCCCTCCGGCCTGGCTGCGGAGAACAAGGCGCTACCGGCGCTGGCTCCTGCCGCTCCCTCTCCCGCCCGGCCCCGAGCAGCGCCCTCGGCTGCCGCTCGGAGGAAATGGGGCTCGCCCGGGTGGAGAGGGGAAAGAAAAGGAGCGGGGGAAGGGCTGGGGCGCCGCTCCCCCGGCGCGGGGCTCCCGCTCCGCCCTCCCCTCAGCGCACGGCGGGGCAGGGGCGCCCCCCGCCCTCAGCCGCGGGAGCCTGAGCCGGCGCTTCTCTCTCCTGGTGCCGAGGAACCCCGATCCGGGCGGTTCCGTCCGTCTTCGTCCTACGTGGGGGGGAACTTGAACTCTGCAGCCTCCCCCCCCAGAGCCCCTTCCTTCGCAGCGACACCTGAACCACCTCGGCCTCGCCAGCTGCCGAGGGGGACTCGGGCTTTCCCTGTGTGTCCTTTCCCGGCGTGTGTCTGCCTGCCTCCCGGCACAGGTGGGATTTAATCCGCTTCCCAGTTCCCGCACACACAGAAATGCAAACGTACTCCCCCCGGGCACACGGTTTAAGGCAGCCTTCCCTGCGGATCCGATCCCCCAGGGCCGTGCCCGCCCCTCGGTGCGCGGGATCCCGAGCTCGCTGTTCCCTGCCTCCTCCGGGACAGCCGGGCTGCGGGTGCCTGGCGTGAGCCGCTTTTGTCTCGCCAAGAGCCGGTTGTTTTCTGTCTTTAAAGATACTCGGAACGTGCCGTTGAACCTGATGGCGAGAGCCCACCTTCTTCCCTCCCGCGGAGAGTAGCTGCGAGCACTCGAGAGAGGGAGACTATTTTCCCTCCTGTTTCAAATCAGAGGGAAATCTGGGACAGGTCTGAACACAGTGAGAGCACATTCCACATCCCAGTCATACACGCACAATGAAATGAGAAGCGTCTGTGTATCTTGACTCCTCTAGCAGCTTCTCTGAAGTAACTTGTGGGAGGGGGGGAATCTTACTTGTGCTGCAGATTAATTTGCTCCATCTACCTGTTACATCAGTTCTTACAGTGTATGTTTAGTTGATTTGTTTTGCAGTAAGCATATATTTTAAAAAGAGCCTCTTCAGCAAAAAGAATCGTGTCAGTAGTTGATGTCCCCTCTTACAAAAGAACTACCACTAGCAATGGATTATTAATGTGTTTCAAGTGAACAAAACCCAGGTTAGGTCTTTAAACACCCTTTTCAGGATTTTCCTGTTTTGCCAGTTCCCAAAACCACTAAAGCAAGGAATTGAATTGAAAATAATCTTGTTCCTGAGGTAATTTTCTGCCCTGCAAGCTTGCACTTAAATGCCTGGATTTAATTATGCATTATTAACCCGATACTCTTAAGATCAACAGTTCTGTAACAGACAACTTCTTCTTGAATATTTAGAATAATGAATCATTTTAATTGAAAGGTAGAGTTGCTTAATAATTGATTAACACAAAATCGAAGTTGGTATAAGCATTTGGGTCAAAAGCAGTTTTGCTAGATTGAGAGATTTTTATTACAGTTCTCAAAAAAAATTGGTCTTTCTCTAAGTTCCAATTTCTGAAGCTGTATGGTTGCAAAAATGTCATATAATTTCTCAGAAAAAAACATGCAAAAAAGTTCTTTTTCATGTCTGATTATACAAAATTTATATGTGATGGCATGAAATTTGTAACATATCTTAAGGTTTTTTAAAGATTCAACTTACTATGTTGTGGCTTGAAAACAGTTTTTTTTCCGTTAGGGGAATGATATGCATTTAAATATTTGAATTTAGTGGATTGGTATTTGGTTTTTAATGGAACTCAGTTGATATGTTAAATCTTTCTTTGTATCTCTACATATTTCTTTTATTAGATGCTATCTGCTAGCTTAGGTACAAAAATTATATTTTATAATAATGATGATAAAGAATGGGGCTAGTGTCTTACAGATCTAAGTAAAGTTTGCAAGGCAGGAGATGAGAGATTGCAGTGGCAGTAGTTGTTAAAAGTATTGATCTGTCTGGCACTTTTGGCAAAATATCAGCAATTGCTGCCTGTTTGTGCTGCTGTCCTAAAGCATGTGTTGAAATGAGTACTGAATCCTTTTCTTTGTGATTTATCAAGAGCAACAAAGACATTTTCATGGTTTCAGAATGTTGAAATCTTTTTTCAGACTTAGAATTCTTTGGTTTGGAAATACTCAGGTCCTTTAGCATTTCGTGCCTGATTTTTCAGGTTAAATCTGATCCTTGGATAAAAAGCCATCTATAAATTGTGTAATAGAGAAGTCAGGGCTCAGCACTTTTTTTTCTGAAAGGCTGGGCAAGAAGTAGATCGTCAGCTTGTTATGAACTAAGACTTAGTAAAGAATGCATGTAAAAATGTACAGGGAATACAAAGAAGCTGTGCATTTCCAGTGGCACCGGTACTGTGAAGCACTGGTTTCCAGTTCATGCTGCTCTCTTGAAGCAGACAGCACTCTCCTGGAAACTAGGAGGTCTGGCTGTGTATGATCGAGGGAATGTGTTACTTAAAGCAGTTAATAGGTAAGTTGAAACTGGCTGGCTGCTGACTTTGTGTATGCATTGATTTTAACAAGCAACTGTAAGAGCTGGTTTATTAACAAGACAGTTAAGGTTTCGTTTCCCAGAATATTGTATACATTTATTAAATCAATAAATTAACTGGTTAATACTGATACTTAGAGAATGTCTCTTTAGTGTTTTTCCCAGAAAATCTGGTTCTGGAATAGAGTATACAAGTGCCTGCATGAAGCCAGCTCTAGTCTCCCAGGCCTGGTGCTCCCCTGGGAGCTGGGGAGGCAGTGCAGAAGCACAGGATGGGGATGCTACTGTAGCTTGATAGCCTGGACTCCAACTCTATGCAAACACAGATATCTGTTTCCACATCCCACTAGAATGTCTTTTGCACTTAACATTGCTGGCTACCAGTTTTCTAAGTCTGTCTTAGTTAATTAGCAGGTATCTTAATACTGTCTCAAAAGTTTAGTTAATGAGGCCTGGCTTTCAGTGGTGGAGTGGAAGAGGCTTGTTAAATGAGGAAATCAATAAGGTGCTGCACCATTAAAAGTGTATAATTTACCACTATGTCTCTGTCAGCAATGGTATTCCTGTAAATCTGAGTTTGGATTAACTGACCTCTGTTGGTTTCACGATATGGTTGATTCTTAGTATCAGTTGAAAATACTTTTAGTTTTACTGTTTTACGTGGTCATATAGACTGATTACAGACCCTGGATCATGGCCTTTGAGATCACCAGAAGCACCTGCATTGCAGTTTGGGAACTGGTGCCTGTTCAAACACTTAGAGAAAGAGAATATGGTTCTTTGCTGAATCTGATTCTTTGCTCTCAGTAGTGGAAAAGGGATTAGGAAAGGCATGCTTGTGGAACACAAAGTGATTTCAAAGGAAAAGGAATCACATAATTTCTGCATTGTTCTCAGATTAGGATGTTGCTTAGCAAAATGTTGGGAATCTTTAGCTTCTGCTAAAACAAAAGTACAAGTGAGCAATATATGTCATAGGCTCTTACAGGTTACTGTTTAATCTTTACATGTGTGATAATGACTAAGATTAAACAAGTTTTAATTGAGAGAGTGCAGAGCATGGTCACGTGACTGGGGGAGGGGTTGCTTGAAATCGGTAATCTGGTCTGACAACTGCAGTCTTTTTAGTTGGCTGTTTCTGTTAAAGGTCCCAGGATCTAGAAATGTGTGGTGACCATTTTTAAGCTATGAACACTTAAAAATCTTGGTTTAGTACTGCTGTTGCTTAGAACACACACTTCTCTGTTTTATATGCTGTAAGTTAAATAAAATAGTACCTAAACACTAATGAAGCCTCCAAAGTGTCCTAATAGCTGTGATCATTAAAGATATTTAGGAATTAGTTTAAAGAGTAATTTAATGATTAGAATCCAAGAGGAGAACAGAGTGTAGCAGGCTGCTCATGTGCTGAAGATATTTCCATGTAAGTCAGGACTTGGGTTGCAAAGTTTACCTGCCTTAAACTTCGCTGCATGCACAGATTTCCCTATGAAGGGAGGAGAAAGGAAACATTGATAGAAGTTTAATGGTAAATGGAACACCCTCCCCAACATAGTAACGCTTGCCACTGGGGTGAACTTGTTCTAAGAAGTAGACAGGACAAAGATGTGGTGGAAAGATGTAAAATATACAACCTAAAGAAACAGTATAGTGGTACCAAAGATGATCTTAGTTTTCTGGATAGAAATAAATTTCAATTGTTATAGTCTATTTAAAAGCCATTCTCCAGGAATCTTTATAAAAGCTGAGAAATTAATGTTAAAGGCTTAACTTGTAATTTCAGATCTCTGCTTGCCTTTGTTTTATAGGTTCCATTCCTATAAATAGAAATTCAATAATTCTGTTATTTTAAAGACTTTGACTTTAAAAGACTTTGACTTTTTTTTAATTACCATTCCTAGGAATGCTGCATTTCATTTCAGTGTCAAATCCTTTTCTTCCTCACTGTCATTTATAACACAAGTATTTTCTGTCAGAAATGACAACAACTTCTTGCCACCTAAGGCAATCCCACAGTTTTCAGCTGGCTTGGAGAGGCGTAAGGGATCGATGCTTATTGAATTTGACTCCCTCTTGTATGGTGAAATTCTTTAATTCTCTCTGCTCCCTTTTAGTTCTGCAAAGATAATGAGAGCAAGAGGTAATAACAGCTTGGTAGGGTGGGGGAATACAGGTGGTTACACGTAGGTGCTTATGTTTTGCTCATTAGGTTTATAGGTCTGGAGTATTGTTTTCCTTTAGTTTGTGATTGTGACTTGCATTTAAAAGTTATGTGAAGAGGATGTTTCTGTATACTTTGAGAGGCAGTAGGATATGCCACATTTTGTAGTGCATTTTGGGATATTTGCTACTGTTATTTATATAATTCTTTTTAATAAAATATATCTTCGTGCCCACTACAATGTGCTCTTTAGTAGAACATACTTGCAC